CCAGCCCGGCCTTGAACACTTCCAGGGATGGGGCATCCACAGCTTCTCTGGGCAACCTCTTCCAGTGCCCCACCACGCTCTCCAGGAAGAATTTCTTCCTGACATCTAAACCTCCCCACTTTCAATTTAAACCCGTTATATATATATGAAAAGCACTCTTGTTTCTAGTTTCTACTTGTCCTTGTTCTAGAATTGTAAGAGCTAACTTTCTTGTTAAAATTCCACTCCTAGAAAGGCCTCTGTTTTATCATGAACTGTTTTTCTTAACCATCCTGAGCAAGGGCTAATGGATGGGGTCAAATAAAAAAAAAGAAATATCACCACCTCAGCAGAATGAAAACCTAAAAAATAACAGGTTGGGAACAAGATAAAGAATTGCTGAAGAAGACATAGCAAAGACATACCGAAGTGTTAAAAAGGGAACAACAGGAATGGTCACGTGTTTTCCTTAAATTTTAAAAGTTGTACTAAAGTACAGAAACACGCATCGGGTGGGCTGTGAACCTGGAGTACCTGGCCAATGAGGAAACAGGGGAGGGGGCTGAATGCGTTGGGAACTAGGATATTTAATGTGTACTCTATTGCTGTGGCGCACTCTCTCCTGCAGGAAGGGAGGCCCACCACTGCAGTTGTGAAATAAATGCTGCCTCACTGCCATCCCTGCCTGAGCCGAAGTAACTGGCCTGCGAGCATTTCTCACACTCTGAAGCCACGTAGTCTTAACCTGGGCTAAAATCTTTTGTTACTGCTAGGGTCATTATCTACAGTATCCTCATTTCTCAGCATTTTTTATCGATTATGGAAAAGAAAAAAAAAAGCTTTTTACCTTCAAAGGTCGATCCTTCTTTTCAAAAACAAATGTTGGCTGGGCAAGCACCGATCTCTCTGGAACAGAGAATTGATTGCTTTTGTTCACAGTTCTGCAATGGCACTTCTCAACCACAGCTCTCAAAGTGCTGTGCAATAGCAAACAGGACTAGCCTTTTGTTACAAAGGAAGAAAATACAGAGCTGCAGTGATGTACAGCACAGTCCGTAAATTTAAGAAAATAAAAAACGAGTCCCCAAATCCCAGTGTGAGTTTTGCCTAACTAATTGCCACAGGATTCGGCCTCATATTTTTTCATTTCTTTTAGTTAGGAAGAGAAAATAAGTGCTTTTGGCCTTTACAGACAACATCTGCCATCCTTATAACAACAAGGGTGAACGGCAGCTTTGGTTCTCAGAAAAGTGCAAGGATGTGAAACGCAAAATGATCCCAAAAGGAAAGGTAGGAAATGTGTTACACCTGGCCTCTCAGCTACATTGACATTTCCCATTCTTTAGGTGAGGTGTCAGTTTTAATGTGTAAGTATAACATATATAAACACAGGAAACGCTATCGATCAACTTCTCAGGCATACCTCTGCATTTTCTCGCTATGACTGAGAACAACTTTGGATCCACCTATCCATCTTTTTTTTTTTTTTTTTTAATGAATGTATTTCAGCATACAGTTGGCTCACATCGAATTTTACATTGTTTTAGGGTTTACTACTTCTACATCTTTCTTGACTTCTTCAGGTGCGTACTTTTGCCTATTCACAGGCTGTGAATGAGACCCTTGTGGCCTGTGCAGCTCTAATGGACTAACTTTGGTTGCAAGTGTGAAAGCAGAAGATATTTTCATCAGTACCAGCAATTAATGACACATTTATTATGCCAGTAAATGGCACAGTTAAAGAGTAAACAAGAGTAAAGAGACAGATTTTTTCAGACCACCACCTACAGGATTCACCTCATGCTAGCTTGAGATGTCTGTAACGTGCAGTCAGTAGAAACAATCAGTTTCTGAGCATAAGCGTATTTTAGTTGTGTACTTTAGGAGATGAATGGAGACCTAAATGCATGTATTTCTCTCCATGGGTGATGAGGACAGATTAGGGTGACTGCTGAGCTAAATGACTGGCTTTTGGCCAAAGAAATCCCACACTTGATACCTTGTTAATTTACATTTGACAGAATATTTATCACATACAACCCCCTCCTTTTACAACACCTACTTCCTCTGGTCTATATTAGAATATTGACCTGTTCAACAAAAAGGTCCACATGAACATATATGGATTGATATTTTTATCTTGGCTTGCACACCTACCTGTGACCACACCACTCCAGCAATGTTATCAATTACTTAGAGGTTTAATAAACCAAATATCAACCTATCATGGAGTTTTTAAAACTACTAAATAAATATTCAACAATCAAGACAAAAGTAAACATTGTTAAAATAAATGCTTCATGTATGTAAACTGGGCAAGAAGCATGAAACTATTGCTCAAATCTAGCAAAATACAGACACAGCGGTAATAACTAACACAGTTTTGCAGTTGTTGAGATTGTGTATTTACTTGGGTATTATGTGTGTGCAAAGGACTGAATTTAGCAAATTCTGCATGCTCTGCCATGAAGGTCTGGTTTGTCCTTAATAGAAAAAGAAAAAAAAAAATTACATTGTTCAACTCCAAAAAAGATTAAGTCTCTGTCACGGAAAGCTGAAGAAAATTTCCATAATCCAGCTGCAGCTGGGGGTCCATGGCATGGCATGAGATGAAGCAATTCCACTTCTCCTCACTAGAGGGGAGTGGCACACACAAACAATAGTATTTCACTGAAATGAGATTTATTCAGTATAATAGGTTTTTTTCCTGCTAACAACAACAACAAAAAAGGGGCTTGTATTCTTACTGAATGAAGGAAAATTACAA